TCTGGGCCAAGAATTCCTCCATATGGAGGAGCAGCACCCTCCATCCACCCTTTCTCACAGTCAAAGATGCAAGGTGCCAACTGAAGTTGATCGCTCTCAGTGAGAATCAGGTCAAGGATGGGAGGATGGAGTAGAATGCAATCCAAATGAAGGTTGGTTCCTGTGGCCCCACCTCTGTGATGGCTTAGCTCGGTCAGCCCAGCTACCGTGGTTTGTAAATTCTAGTTGACCTTACTGCATACATTGGGACAATTGTACCAGTACAGTAAACTATAGTTAGGTAAACCACAGCTTAATGAGATGCGTGAACACAGCCAAAGTGTCTTGTTATCTGTATTACTGGGACGCTTCTTCCTTTAATCTTTCACATGATGCGATTTCCAGGGAATCAATCCAAGATGAAACAACTAAATGAAGGGTGATGACTTCTGGAAGTTAAAGTCCATCCATCTTGAAATTGTGGAGGTTGAGAAACACTGATCTAGTCCAACCCCCTACCCAGTGCAGGAATCCACCCCTTCAACATCCCCAACAGAGAACCATTCAGCTTCTATTTAAACCCTTCCAGCAAAGGAGAGTCCACCACCTCCTGGATGAGGTCACCTCTCAGTTCCCTTCCACCCTTTCATTCCAGGTTTCCCAACAACTAAATGAAGGGTGATGACTTCTGGGAGTTAAAGTCCATCCATCTTGAAATTGTGGAGGTTGAGAAACACTGATCTAGTCCAACCCCCTACCCAGTGCAGGAATCCACCCCTTCAACATCCCCAACAGAGAACCATTCAGCTTCTATTTAAACCCTTCCAGCAAAGGAGAGTCCACCACCTCCTGGATGAGGTCACCTCTCAGTTCCCTTCCACCCTTTCATTCCAGGTTTCCCAACAACTAAATGAAGGGTGATGAAAGACGCTGATAAACTTATGGGGAACAGTTAGACGTGTTGGGTATGTTTAGCCTGGAGAAAAGAAGACTGGGGTGAAACATGATAGTTGGGCAGAGATTCCAGAACAATGTTCAGAGATGCCAAGGAACAATGAGATTAAATTACAAGGGAGTAGATTTTGGATGGATATCAACTTAAATTTAGGAGGTGCTTAAGCTATTGGAGATGCTAAAGTTATCAATTTCTGGGGTGGGCAGGGGGTTGGGCTAGATGACCTTAAAGATCCCGTCCTCCCATTTTGGATTCTAAGATGGGAAAGTCCATGGTTCTAGAAGAACATCTTTAGCAGGCTGGGAGAAGTTATTATAGTTCTAAGAGCAGAGATCAGAGGTTCTGCCTGAAAGGTTAGATCGAGCTCCCCTAAATCATACAATTCCTTCCAAGGCATCAGATAAAATCTGATGGGAATCTAGCTGCAAAATTCTTTCTCTGTCCAAAGGTTGCCAGTCTGGGTCAGGATAATCACCTAGGATCAAAACTAAGGGAGACTCTCACATATTTAGAAATAGACGTTCAACTTGGGATTTAGAAAGTGATCTTTCCTACCGTGCAAAGTTGTTACTCCCCATATAGTCTTCCCTCTTGGATGCGAAAGGGCAATTTTCCTCTTCTAAGGACTCTGTAGACAACGTGGAGACAGAATCCGAACCACTTTCCTCTGGTTGGGAATGCTGCTGCTGCTGCTGCTATGAAATATCAGCCATCAGATTTGGAATGTCTGGGGTTCAATTGGACCATTTCTCTAGCAAGCCCTAGCTTTCATCAACTTTTGGTATCTATAATTACATTTCATAGCTATGGGTTTGCTTTTATGTATTTTAGGTTTCCAGGATCCACTTGTTTAGGACTAACTTGCACTTCATGGAGCTCATATAGATCCCTTCCCAGGGACATCTGTGGTGGTTGGCAGGGGGAGAGGAGGGTCAATGAAATCAAGACCACCCCTTTTTTTTAACCTAAGTTTCTATGCACAGTGATGGCCACTGCCTTGACTTTTTTAAAATCCCCCTTGTGGATACCCTGTCCCACCCTTGGTTTTGCAAACTTTAGAGCAGCCTGAGCTCACACAGGCAAAATCTGGCAGCAAAATCACTAATTTTCAGTGACAGGTTTTTGCAAAGGTTTGTGCGTCCGTGTGTGTGTGTAAAAAGGTGCAGATAGGTGCATTACATCTCTGCAAGGCTAGCTGTATGGAAGATGCAGCATTCCAAAGACGGTTCTCTAAAATGTTCTGCTTCTTCTCCCCAAATGCACCAATCTGGCAGTTTTAGGAGCAAGGGGTTGTGGTTTTCCAAAAGTACATCTTTTCATCCAGGTCTCCTGGTCTCCAGGACACTTGAGTTTTATTCACACAGCCCTGCCCCTCTCAGGGGCAGAAATTTTTAGAAACTGTCAGGTTCAAATGCTGCTTCTGCACACACCACACAGACCTTTTCATGGAGCACCTTTTGAAGATCCTGTCTTCAGCAAGTTTACCCTCAACAATTAATTTTGCTTTTTCCAACAATTAAGTCTGGTGGGACCTCTAATATGGAACAATTTGCCATTATTTGCTGACACTGAGACTGTTTTTCACCTAAACTTTTAGAGACGCATATTTTTTTTACATTGTGGTCTGTATTCAACAATTATATTTTCGTCAGCTGCCTAGGCCATCGGCATTGGTCAACCTATAAATCTCCCAGATACTAGGTAACTAATACAAAACACAGCCTGACTCTGGTTTAAAAGAACTGCGTGTGATGTTCTGTTAATAACAGCTGCTATTTCTTAGCTTAACTGTTCTTGTTCACCCAAGAGAAAGGAGTTCTCCTTTGCTGGAAGCCTTCATAGAAAGGTCATCGTTCAGGAATGATGTAGGGGATCTGTAATGGGCGGTAAGAATAGCCTTGGAGAAGAGGAGGAAGAGTCGCAGCCAAGGCAACGGTCAGATAAGAGAAATCCGAGTCCTAAGCGGGCATGGAATTTGAGAAAGTGTCTCAGACGTGCCCCTCCCTGCCTTTATCCTAAGGAGAATTAGGGAGGGTCATGT